GTTCGTGGGAGGCGAATGGGGGAATCTGGAATAGGAGCATACGCCAACGACAATTATTTATACTTACCTTTGCTCTTATGGCGCACTTTATTTATTTGGCGGTTGTTCATTCCAGTGAAACCCAGTTTTACTTAAACATTTTAGATCTCCAGATCTTACCTGCAGTTTGATCAGCCCAACCCCGGAGACCTTGGTTGCAGAGGGGCTTGTGCAATTTTGAATAGTCCCTTATTTCTGAGAAGGCAGATGGACTAAAATAAACCTTATGTGCCCGTGCGCTCTGCTTACCCCAGCGGTAGGCAGAAAATGATTCCTTTACCTAACCCTAACCCCTAACCCCGCCTTTATTCCAAAAATAAATCCCTTCTGTCAAAAACTGTATTTTGATTTATTATATTTTATTTGGGACGATACCTTTAACTTACCTGACTTTTATAGGAACCTCCACCGGGGGACAGACCTGGGAGATCCTGGGGTTTCTTGTAAGTGTCTACTCCCGTTGCCTGTCTTGCATTTGCTCCGATGTTCTATTTAAACCCTTTTAATAATTTATTTTATTGTTTTATGATATTTTCACCTTTTAACTTTTTAGTTTTTATTCCATTAAAAAGAAATAGAAAAAACAAACCAAAAAAGAAGAAAAATTCTCCTTGTGCCCGTGACCCCCGTGACCTCCACCAGGAGGCCGTGTCCCCACCCAAACGTAACCCTAACCCGGTGATCGTGGTTATTACTCCCTTATCTAACCCTAATCCTAACCTATACAACACAATTTAATATCTAAATGAATAAAGGGTTAAAAAATGTAAATAAGGACACCGTCATGGATTTCCTGCACAGGGTCAAAATACATACGGCTGATGAGATATTGAGTGACATGCGCTGGCCCGTGCCTTGCCTTAGATCTCTATCCAACCGTGAAGTCATTGGACGGCGTGGGGAGATCTTTGTGAATACGATTTAATCCTAACCCTAAACCATTTCACATATTTGTGTTTTGTATTTTGTATCATCATGATATTCTATATACCTCATGTCTCTACATTCATGCTCAGTGTGACTGTGTTTACTGTCAGTGTTTCTTTCAGTTGTAGAAGTGTCATGTAAACAAAATAAACAACCAATGCTGCTCATAAAGAGTTTTAATGTATATTTATACACAGTAAATATATCCACAATACATGTAGTCAAAATAATTGTACATAATAAAAGGATATAATTAATTTTCCATACTTTCATTGATATTTCAAGTATGCAGATCAGTTATAGCATAAGATACGTCGCAGTGCTTTCTTTGCAGATGGAAGAATATTCAAAGAAGTTATCTGGAAGAATCCTATCATGCAGTATATTGCAGAAAACTTTGGTGTGTCAACCCAAACAATGCAGAGAAAACAGCATCTGGATCCATGTGGACTACAAACCAACCCGGTTCCCCACAGCTCAATAAAGTAAGATTGATTCTAAACCAGACAAATATGTGACGACAAATGTTGATTTCTATCTTGAACTATTTCTTCATGGTGACTGAGTTTCCTGTTTCAGGATTTGACTCGATGATACACTTTAAAGTTTCTTTTCATGGACAATAACTAGTTCATGTAACAAATGAAGACGTGATTTCCACCACAGCTGCCAGTGACGGTGACGTGATCGTCAAGTAACAAAAATTCAGAGGTGCACTAACAAACAGAGCAACGTCCAGCGGAGCCGACGTGCACCATATAAACTAGGCTAAAGCCCCGCCCCCAGTCTCAGATAAACTCCGCCCCGTCTCAGATAAACTCCACCCCCAGTCTCAGATAAGTGGATGTCACATCGTCTTCTGATTCCTGAATAAAAACAATTCAACCTGTTAGAATGAAATTATCTGTATGAAGAAAACAGCTCACAGCTGTTCACTGTAGACTTAAAGTATACCTGTATATATAATTACAGTATCACTGTATTTTTACAGTATTACTACATATATTATGAGTATTACAGTATACAGTCTGAGTGTACGACACACATGCAGAACAGCAGAAACCAGTTTCACACTTTTATAATAAAACATAATAAAACATTATTTTCTGCAGATTTCAGTCTGTTTTATAAGAAATAACATTAAAGTGTAAATGTAGTACTGTACTGTAAACGTTATTGTAAATGTTATACTGGCTCCAAACCAATTATTGGTGACTGTGGCTAAGTGGAGAGCAGGGTCGTCCTTCAGTCAGAGGATTGGTGGTTCGATCCCCGGCTCCGCTAGTCGCTTGTCGATGTGTCCTTGAGCAAGACACTCAACCCCAAATTGCTCCCGTAGCTGTGCCTACGTGTATGAATATGATAGAATCTGAATTGTAAATTGCTTTGGATAAAAGCGTCTGCTAAATGACTGTAATGTAAATGTAATCTATTAAGACTTTAAACTATAAAAAATGAAACATTCTTCATCGATTCTTTCCTGTAACTTTAGTCACATTCAATTTATATTCAGAATACCAAACAGCACTTCCTGTCTGAACTGATGATGAACTTTGTCTGATGGTTTAGTTTTTCTTTTAAAATAAAACAAATACAGTTTTAGTGCAATCCCAATGATTGACGAGTTATTACACACACAGGTGATACCTGTATTCAGGAAATTTGTGTTGAATCTGAAAATGGAAGACAGAATTTACATTCCAACATCTGTTCTGTTCAATAACCTGTAAGTCATTAATCTGTTCATCCGTTCGTGTACTGATGGGAATCTCATGCTGATAGTTACAACCTACTGGTAACTGATTGGTCAGATGGCTGTTGTGATCCATTATTGCATTAATCTGTCTGTCTGACATTTTCTTCTCTTCTTCTCTTGATTAACAATCATTTCAGTGCTTACTTTGTTTTCTTCTTCTTTTGTTTTAATTCCTGATCTTATTTTACTCCTCCAGAGAAAAGAAAATCATCATCATCACCTCTGCTTCTTTCAGTTTCCCTTTGTCCCGCCTCCATGATGATGTCATAAGATCAGACCACGCCTCTACGATGCTGTCAGAAGATCAGACCACGCCTCCACCATGATCTCAGAGTAGCAGACCCCCCTCCACCATGATGTCAGAGTAGCAGACCCCCCTCCACCATGACGTCAGAGTAGCAGACCACGCCTCCACCATGATGTCAGAGTAGCAGACCATGCCTCCACCATGATGTCAGAGTAGTAGACCACGCCTCTTGGCCGGACTGTTCACTTGACAAAAAAAAAATTATTAAATAAAAACAATGTATTTAACACAACAAATTATGTTTTCTAGTCTTCTGAAATTCAAGCTTTATTTTTTAATCTTACAAACAACAGAACCATCTCACCATAAGGCGGCTGTTGTTCTGGAGCTTTCAGTCATATCACATGATCTTCCTCAATGGATGGTGCTGCTTAGTTGTCATGGAGCTGTAGATTGTCAAGAATGAACTTTGTGATATGATCAAAAGCTCCAGAACAGATATTGTGTTATCGGCTCACTTTGTGTTTTTCACTCAATTACTTCTTTGTCTTTTGGGTGGCCAATGTTTGGAAAAACAGTACGTGTATGTGTGGGTGTATGTGTGTGTGTGTCTGTGTGTGTTACCTGGATCAGAGGTGAGTGTTGGTCTGATTGTTTCTTTTTCCAGTTGAATCTCTGGCAGACTGAAGATGGACATTGCTGAAACAACATTAAGTGACTTAGTGATGTCACAGCACACAGTGACATCACAGATTACAAACAGTTGTGTTTAAACTTACTGTCGAGAAGCATCATCACTCTGTTTCCTAGGTTACTGAAATAACGATGATTCATTGACTCGGCTGCTGAGATCCTCTTCTTCCCTTCAAACTAAAGTTGAAATACAAACTTCATTAAAACAACGGATCAAATAAAACATCTTGTTGTGGATTCAAACCTGGACTTTCTATGTCTCTCAGAAACCTGGCTACATATAAACTGGCCCTCTGTTGCTCTGAATGTACGTGGATACAATATATTTAGAAGACATAGATCTAGTGGTAAAGGAGGAGGAGTAATGTTTTACATTAAAGAACACCTTAACTGCAGCCAGATTGAGTGGTCGAGTGATGTCATATTGGAATGTATTGGTCTGAAAGTGTCACTATCATCTCAAATGTCTCTTACTCTTATCTGTCTCTACAGACCACCATCGTCCAACTGTGTATTTTATGATCAGCTTAATTCCATGTTAAAGGAATGTGACTTTGACAAAGAGGTTATATTAATGGGTGATTTTAATGTAAATTGGGAGGATAAGTCTGGAAGAAAATCCCTAAAACGTACAATTGATTGCTTTAATATGACTGTTAGTGAACAAACCCACAAGGATAACCCACTCTTCTCAGGCCCAGATTGATTTGATTTTTAACAATAAACCAGAAAGAATGATCAAAACACACAATATGGTAACTGGTATGTCTGACCATAATTTAATACTTTTAACAAGAAAACTTACAAAGAAACGGTTTAATATGTGTTCTACCTGAAAGGCTTATCAATCAAGAATACCGAAAGGTGACCAGAATTCATTTGAGGATGCTGGGAATTGATTGGAGCAACTGTTTAACGGGTGAAAGTGTGGAGGATGACAGCAACATCTTCTTATTCACAATACAGACCACAATTAACAAAATCAAAAGAACACACTTCCATGGCTAAATAATGACATCTGGAATTTAATGAAAAAATGGGATTATGCGTTAAAACTGGCACTAAAATCTAAATTAGGAAATGATAGGCAGGAATTCACAATGCTGAGAAACGAAGTAATGAAAGAACTTACAAATGCAAAAGCTAATTTTTTTATTAAATATTAAGCAAAAAAAATGATGTCTCATTTATTTAGAGACGTCAAACCTCTAATGGGGTCAAAAGTGACCCTAATTCAATAATTCAGCAATTCAATGAAGCAACTTAAAATGAATGTGAACGGGTGCCTTACACAAGATGAAGTTGTAATTTGTACAGCTTCCAATTCATACTTTATCAACTCAATGGAAGCTTGAAATCGAAGATCCAGTATTGGTCAATTTGATCGTACACCGGTAAATTAAGGTCAACCACGCTTCTCTAATCAGGATGTCTCTAAATCTACTGTCACCAGAGTTCTAGGCTCACTCAAGAACTCTAGGGCCAAAGATGTTTATGGAATTGACAATATTGTTCGAAAGAAACACAAAGGCACACTCGCTCACCCTATCGCAAGCATTGTCAACAACTCTCTCAGGCAATGTGTGTTTCCGAAAGGATGGAAATCAGCCACAGTAACACCCATTTTTCAGTCAGGAGATTCAACCGATGTCTCTAATTATCGGCCAATCAGTATCCTCCCTGCTGTTTCCAAGATTGCTGAGAAATGTGTTGCAGAGCAACTTATTTAACTTAACACCTCAACAGCTCTCCATATCAGCTGCATCCTATGCAGTTTGGTTACAGGGCTAATCATTCGACTAAAGCAGCCAACTGCTTCCTCTTAGAGAACGTGAAGCTTCAAATGGATAAAGGGGGTGTAGTAGCAGCGGTTTTTCTTGACCTGAAGAAGGCTTTTGATACGGTTAATCACAATGTCCTGATTAATAAACTGTCACATTTTTACTTTTCCCAAGAGTCTCTTGCCTTGCTGAAATCCTACCTTGAAGGAAGAACCCACTGTGTCAGAGTGGGTGATGTTTCATCATCTACTCTGAGATCTAACGTGGGAGTACCCCAGGGTTCTATTTTGGGACCTTTACTATTCAGTTTATACATTAATGATTTGCCGGGTGTCTGGAATGGGTGTGATATTCAAATGTACGCTGACGATACAGTGATTTATGTGCATACTAAGAACAAAGAACAAGCTGCACTTAAACTCACGTCCACAATGACAAACGTAACTAAATGGCTTGCAGATTCCTGCCTTCACCTGAATGTTAAAAATACTGTTTGTATGTTCTTCACAAAGAGGGCTTGCAAAGTGTCACCGGAGCCAGATGTTTATGTTGCTGGTGAGAGGCTTTAGGTAGTGTCAGATCTTTAATCTCATGACTTTTAGATATATAAGAAACACTCTAACCGTGCAGGCTGCGGTACTGTATTTTAATGCGATGATTGTCCCCCATCTTACTGCTTAATCAGCTGGGCACAAGCCAGCAGCACAACATTAAAATCTATTCATGTTCTCCATAAGCAAGCTCTAAAAATACCCAAAAGTCACCATCACTGCAATATCCTCATCAAACACCATATCTTGAGTTGGGAGAACATCATTAAATTCATTGATATAATAATTTTACATGGTATGGCCACACCTCCGCTTAGTGATTTTATTAAACAAAGCACTCAAAGCAGCAGACTCACTAGATCTGCTTCAAGAGGTGATTGTGTCATTTCACATAGGTCAAGTTCGTTTAGCAAATCTACATTCTCTGTGAAGGCAGCTCACTTGTGGAATGCTGTGCCACCACACATACGCACAAAGAACACGTACAAAACATTCAAACATAGCCTTAAGGAATGGCTTGTTGCCAATCAGGTGTGCAAGCATTGATGTACTGTCTGACCTGCCTGCTTGTTTCGTCTATACGTGCATTTGTCTAGTTCAGTTTTGCTATTTTCCATTTTAATGTGTCTGTTCTGTGCCTCAGTGTTATATACTGTATGTGCTTGTACTGTAGGTGGGTTTGTTCTGCCTGTTATGTCTGCTCTGCTCTAGTGTCTTATGTACACTTTTCTTTTGGTTATATGTGTATTGGTTTTGTCTATACGTTACTGTTTGTCTGGCCGGGGACAGCAGATGAAAACTAGCCTCTCTGGCTAACTCTGGCTCACTTACATTTTAACTGTTGATTGGTGTGCATTTTACCTGCAAAATAAACAAATAGATAAAATAAAGAATGTTATGTTTCTGTTTATTTGTTCAGACATCATGAGTCACATCCTGTCATTTAGAACCGCTGCGTACGGCGCTTCCCACGCTCAAGTAGTGACGTAACAAAAGAACGATAAGTCATGAGTCCGTCTCTTATGGAGACACAGACGCTGAGGAAGGTAAAGATGAGAGGAATCGTTCTTTTTATAATGATGCTTCTCACACATTTTATTCACTTCCTATCACACCTATCTAACCTTACTTCTTGTAGGAGTTATTGTAGTATTTACTAGTCTGTCACTTCACTTCAACTCACCTCAGTTCATTTAGATTCAATTCAATTCAATTTATTTTGTACAGCCCAAAATCACAAATCACAAATTCTACTCAGAGGGCTGTACAATCTGTCCACAGGGTTAGCATCCTCTGAGCTTTGACCCTCACATCGGAACAGAGGAGGGATCCTCTATCAGGATGTGTTTTGGTTTTGTGTGTGCTGCTCCTGTTTGTTGAGCAAAAAAGACTTTGAACCCCAAATGGTCACATACGGCAAAATTTTGTTTATTCTCACCCTATTTATTACTTTTTTACGGAATTGTTTGCACAAATTCTCGTGAGATGGAAAAGAAATATGAGCCCAATCGGCCTGATGACGACGTTATTATTAAAGTACAGCTTTGAAAAGTCAGAACTCTTAAGTCCAATTTGCTCTAAACTTGCCATAGACCTCCATCTCCACTCACTCTACAAATGTGCTTCAACAACCTGTTAAGTCTGCTTGAATAGAATTGCCACCATTTTTCTTTCTTCGATAACAGTATTTTTGACTTCTCCTTCTAAACCCGAGGTCCGATTGCTACTAAATTCTCTGTGGATCATTTTTGGACTAAACTAAAACTTTTATAAAGCTTGTTGATATCTCATGGCCTTGTGAAGATATCCACCAATCAACTTGTAAAGGGTGTTGCTCAGCACACCATTTAGACTGAACTCAACAGAAGGATATGTCCACAGAAGTACCAGACACAAACCCTGAAAGTATAAATTGAATTGACCACTAGAGGGTTCTGCAAAAGCAGGAATCACAGCTTGCGGCTCGATATTTATATATATTCATTGGTGCTGGGCAACGATTAAAATATTTAATCGCAATTAATCGCATGGATTTTTTGCGATTAATCGCATTATTATGGCAAAGTTCAATAATGAATTCAAAAGTAGTGTATTGCGCAATTTTATTTTAAAAGTACTGCTATATGAACAAAAGTGCAATAACATTTGGTTCACGAGATAAAGGCAGCATGTTTTATACTTAATGTGAATATAATTCATACTTTGTTGGCATCTTATTCTGAAAACCGGATGTTCGTCTGAAGAAACCGGATGTTGTCTCACGTTAATCTTTCCACTAACTTTCAAAGTCCTTCGCTCGCTCCCAATCTGTGCTGTTTGAATGCGTTTAACGTGAATTTCAGCATATAGGTGCATATAGTGCTCATACGTGCCGTCATTCGTTGCGATCCTAAGAACGTTCCTCAGACCGACATCTTCCACAATACTAACCGGCTGCAGTTTGTCTCCACTTCTCTGTAGCATTTGTTAGCTTGTCTTGCTTTTGTTTATCTAAACTTCTCCCACACGCTACATCAACGCAGTCTGCTGAAGACTTCCTCCACGGACTTTCAAAATAAAAAAATGCTTTAACGCGCTATAAAATAATTGTCGTCATCAATTAATGAATGCGTTAACGCGATAATAACGCGTTAACTTTCCCAGCTCTAATTAATTATCTCATTAATTATGTTTTTAATAAAAAAAAAATGTTGATAATCATTGTTATTATTAGTAGTAGTAGTACCAGTAGTACTAGTAGTAGTATTACTATCATTATCATTATCATTATGACTTATTATAGTGTAAAATAAAATAAAATAAAAACATTGCCATGTTTACTGACCTTCAGGAACTTTGACAACAGCTCAACTCCTTCAGTGCTGAGCCTAAACAACACACAGACCAACACAGTTAAACGGGTCTCAATGACATAGTTTCTGCTTCCAGAACCTTTTTACACGGATACCCCTCAACATGTCCAACAACCCTGGACCACCTGCTGCTCACATACAGCCCACAAACATTGCTGCAGCTTCACCCGGACCCAACTTTCATGTGGATCTGCAGGCTGCAACATGATGGAGACCTTGATGGAAACAAAGAACAAGACCGGGTCTCTGGGGATGGAGACTCGGCTACGACATCATCGTGACCCAAACAGGAAATTAGTGGACTACTGACGGAATCGTGGCTCAGACAGCACGAGGCCTCTCACCCTGAACTACACCTCAACCTGAAATATACCTCACCCCGAACTACACTTCACCCCTAACTACACCTCAACCTGAACTACACTTCACCCCTAACTACACCTCAACCTGAAATACACCTCAACCTGAACTACACCTCAACCTGAACTACACCTCAACCTGAAATAGACCTCAACCTGAAATACACCTCAACCTGAACTACACACCTCAACCTGAAATACACCTCGACCTGAAATACACCTAAACCCGAACTACACTTTCCCCCGAAATACACCTCACCCCAAAATACACTTGATGCTGAACTACACTTGACGCTGAACTACACTTGACCCTGAACTACACCTCATCCCTACCTACACCTCACCCTAATCTAAACCAATCAAACAAGTACAGTTGTGTTACCTATATGTAGCATAGTTGTGTACCTATGTGTAGTAGAGTTGTGTACCTAAGTGAAGTACAGTAGTGTAACTATGTGTTAGCCATGTGTAGTACAGTTGTGTACCAATATGTAGTACAGTTGTGTACCTGGGAGTGTGGTTACTCAGTCTCTCCGCTCGGTAGAGAGGATAGTTATACGCAACAAATTCGTCATTACAACTGATCCCAGACCAGCTCTGCTCTGTGGGAGTACCTGTACAAGAAATATACACAATATATATCAAACACACAAAATGCATTAAGTATACACAGCTTTCTATAGATGAAAATAACAGAAGCTGAATGCTCCTCACCCAAGAGTTTGAAGATGAAGTGAAGCTCCTCCTCCACTGTGGAACCAGGAAACAGAGGTCGACCTGTTGTCATCTCATAGAAGATACAACCAACACCCCTACAGAGAGACAGACAGGTAAAGAGCAAGGCAAGCAGGCAGACAGACAGACAGGAAGAGAGACATAAGGTCAGACAGACAGACACACAGAGAGACTCCTCGATTTATTACCTCAGTAAACATTGTGAAGATGAGTTTATGGTCTCAATCTCTAGTTTCACATCTTCTTCAATACAGCATGATGTTCATTTAGTAAATGATGGTCCATTTACAGTAAAAGTAAGGGATTATGCCTTCAAAGTGTCCATTATCAGGAATTAATGGACTACATAGAGGCCAGAATCTATGATTGCCTGTTGCCTCCACCGAGTCCGTTAATTAATGATAATGGACACCTCGAAGGGCATTATCCCGCTTATGGTTACTTGCCAGAGAAAAACAATTATTCAATTAATAATTAATTTATGTTTCCATGCCTTTTGCAACGAACATTTTAAGTTTTTCACAATCCATTCACTCAATTTTGGCTGTAACCCTTACATTTGCTAATATTTTGAACAATTATTACCATCCCACTTGATGCAATGGGGCCTCTGGCTCAGCTATGAGCCAGAAAGCTAACATTATACTAGCAAGATTCAAAGTCAATAACATTGCTTATGGATGACAAACAGTAAATATAATTGAACAATATGTTTAACAACAACAGTATCTATCCATCCAAACCACATTCATTGTGAATTTTCTGAGCTCCTATCCGTTGTCATGTCAAGATGTGACAGGCTTTAATTTTTAATTTTAAAATATTTATATAATATTTAATTTTTATATTCCTGTCTGTTGTCCCATGAAAACATTGGCTACTGATTACGAATACTGGTTTTCTACTGCCTATAGTGCAGATTTCACAGTCTGTTATTGAATTCCCCCCACTGATGAATTAATAGACCTCTTCCATAAATCCTGTCTTTCTATTCTAGACTCCACTGACCCCTCTTAAGAGGAGAGCTAGGAAGACTAGTGCAGACCCCTGCTGAATGAGTTCTACATTACAGTCATTTAGCAGATGCTTTTATCCAAAGTGACTTACAATTCAGAGTCTATCACATTACTACGCCGTAGGCACAACTACAGGAGCAATTTTGGGGTTAAGTGTCTTGCTCAAGGACACATTGACACGGAACTAGCAGAGCCGGAGTTGGGGATCGAACCACCGACCCTCTGATTGAAAGACGGCCCTGCTATCCACTTAGCCACAGTTCCTCCCAATTCTATTAGAAGGAACTGCCGGAAAGCAGAGTGTAAGTGGACAAAAGACACACTGTATGTATCCTATTAAATATATAGAAGGAGCTCGTTATCAAGTACCAATCCTCTGTAAATGATGCAACATTTAAATTCCTCCTAGATATCATCATTAAGAGCAGTCACAACTACAGTATCCTGTTCCGTACTATAGACTCCACAGTTAACCACACTGCTGGCTACACTGCAAATGACTCAGCTGTGAGGAGTTTAAAGATGATTTCTTCAAATCAAACCGACAGCATTAGGTTACACATCTCACACCCTATCGAGGATACCTCACTGGCTATTGTGGTCCTTCCTGGGCTCCTAAAAATGTAATTTGAAGCAAATGGTCTTCATAATAATAATCTAACCCTAGATTACTGATAATCTTTAACAGTTCTTTAGCCACAGGTACATTCCCATCTAGTTTTTAGCATGCTATAGTTCAGGCACTCCTTAAGAAGCCTAGTCTTAACCTTTTAGTGACTACAGCCCCCTAGCCCTATTTTTAGGCCTCTGCTCGAAAATTGCATACCCATACTCAAGAGAGTCCACAGCTCTAACTACAAGGTCTATTTTAATAATTTTGATGGTTTAATACAGGTAACACTTGTGAGATGTGTTCAATTGTGTAAATATTGTGTATATGTTACTGGTTAATAGTGAATGAAGATGGCACACAGCTCAAATTGAAAAAAGTTTCAGGTTTGCCTGAAAAAAAAAGCACTTTCATTGAACATTTTTTTTTAAATAATGCAGAGTGAAGCCTAAAACTACTCCAGTCATAGCACAACAGGTTTGTGGTCTCTCTAAGCTAATTTTACTTAGATTGAGTGAAGCAGGCCAGCATAATTGTTGAGTGGGTTAGGTGTTGATTGACAGATTTTTCACCGAGTAAAGTTGCAAGAAGTGCCGCGTATCCCCGAGCGTAAAATTCCATTGGCCGAAAGTCTGACCGCTGGCCCGAGGTGGGTTGACTCCCCTTCTACCGGAAACAGCTCGGAAGTAAACAGGATGCAGTTGGCGACCATGACGGTAGCTCTGAACCGGAGCATTTTCGATGTTTTTGTACTAATATTTCATAAAACGTGACCAAAAACCAAGGATTTTTTCCGGTGAAGACCACTGCCCTGGTACCGTTGTCCACTCACAGCTTTCTACTGGTTTCACGGAGAGAAAAAACGAAGGTATTTATGCGTTCTGTGTCGAATGCTATGCTAAACGATGTGCGGATTAGCCGGCTAGCTGCTAGCTTCGTGGTGCAAATATTGATTTGTAGTACACATAACGCCGATTTCTGCCCAGGATTTCATGATTTTATGCCACATTTTGTAGATGCTTATATTAGTAGTCTATAGTTGTGTTTGGAGTGTGTAAAAAGTGACTTAGATAGTGTTGCCCATACGTTGCAGTTTAATCCGGTAAAAAAAAAAAGTACACATGTACAATCTGGCAAAGAATAAGTCCATTTTCCGAACAATATTTTCAGGGGGCTGAGCCCGAGAGCCCCCAAATGGGGGTAACCTGGCCACTCCAAGTAGTTTTAGGTCAATTTCAAAGCTTTGTTTCTTATCTTTGGTTTTAGGAAAAGTTGTTCTAATCAGATTCTGCCCCTTTTGAAACAAAACAGTATATTTGAGAAATTCTAGTCAGGGTTCTGTGAACACCATAGTACAGAGACAGCTTTGCTAAGAGTTACCAATGACCTCCTCTGTACTGCCAATGCTGGTAAATGTTATATCTCAATGCTTCTAAATCTCAGTGCAACTTTTGATATTGTCACTGGCGTGATTCTCCTGAGACACCTGACAATCTCGTTCCGCATTTCTACTCTTAAATTTCAAACAGAAGATTCACTGTTTCCATTGGCAGCTCATCCTTCAAACCTGCAAATATTTCATGTGGGATTGCAAAGGGTTCAGTTTTTAATTCATTTAAATATATTTTGTATAGCCCAAAAACACAAATTTGCCTCAGAGGGCTTTACAATCTGTACACATGAGACATCCTCTGTCCTTTGACCCTCACATCGGAACAGGAAAAACTCCCACCAAAAAACATTTAACAGGGAGAAGAAAAAGGAAGAAACCTTAGAGAGCAACAGAGGAGGGATCCATCTATCAGGATGGACAGAAGCTTTAGGCCCACTTCCCTTCTGTCTTTACATGTGGGACTCAACAGGGTTCAGTTTTACGACCCCTTCTCTTCTGTCTTTACATGTGGGACTCCACAGGGTTCAGT